CCAAATACAGCGACTTATTTAGATTTAACAGAACTTGCTGCTTCTATGAAAACATAACTTCGTATTTTGAATGTCGACATTATATTGATTGACCATTAGTTCTAATGATAACTTCCTTAATAAAAAACATGTCGATACTCTTAAACGTAAATTATCTGATGCATCACATTTTCAAAGCAGGAACCATTAAAGAAAAATAATTGAGAAGTGCGCAAAAAGCATGAATTCATAATATGCCACATAAAAGAGGCAAAGTACACCAACTAAAAGAAAAAATATTGAAATAATAAATTAAGGAAACTCTTTTGGTAAATTAATAAACTAATATATTTATGACTAATGGGTTTTTTCGGGTTTTTAGGCCGTCGTTCGGTAGAATTTCTTCTTGACGTTTCGCAAGCACGAGTGGCTTGCATCTTCAGAAGTGGTTTGCTTGAACGCTTACACTGTTCTGATGAATCATGAATCAGAGTAAGCCACTCGTGCTTGCGAAACGTCAAGAAGAAATTCTACCCAACCACTGCTTAAAAACCCGAAAACCCCATTAGTCTCAAGGAATGGCCTCGAAAGGATATCTCTTTTGATAATATATTTATGTTTCGTATTCCAAATTGACACAGGAACTGGATAAAGGATGTTTGCACATTTCCTATTTGTAGGGATCGGTATTTGCTGTGACCGGTGGTTCTTCAGGATTAGGACAAGGAGTGGCAGAAGTTCTTCTTACTAATGGAGCGAAAGTAATAATCCTAGATATTCAAACTCTGATAGATGACAGTTTAAAGCCTTTTGCAGATAATATGTGCTATGTGAAAACTGATGTAAGTTTTTTTTTATTACAAGATTATCGGTTTTTGAATGTAAGGTGGTTATATGAGAACATATTTTAGGTAACGTCGGAAGAGGACGTTAAAGAAGGACTTGCGACCGGAAAAAGAAAATTTGGGAAATTGAACGGAATAGTTAGTTGCGCTGCTTTTGTTGGCGATGTTGAGCCAATATATGACATGAAAACAAAACGACTTAGTAGTTTAGACAATTTTCGCAAAGAAGTAAATGTAAGTAGCTGGCAGTAGATAATTTAATCGAAGTTTAATATTTGTTTATATACGCAAAATTAAAGGTTAATCTTATTGGAACACTAATTTCTATTCGGCAAGCGCTTCCTTTATTAATTGAAAATGAGAAAGATGCTGATGGAGTGAGAGGAGTTATTATTACTATTTCAAGGTATGTGCTCTATTTTTTTTGGTGATCCTATCTTTGACTGATAATAGCATCTCTGTACAAGGTGTCCCGTAAGCGCGTGATTAAAAGGCTACTGCGATATTATTCGCATCTAAAGAAGACGATCTGACCTAACTTTTATTAACAAAAAATGTCTGGCTCCTCTGCTATTGATGGGCAAAGTTCTTCAAAAAAATTATCAGAAGGTTAGGTCAGATCAGATTAAAAAAGTTAGGTCAGATCGTCTTCTTTTGATCCAAATAATATCGCAGTTCCCTGTTGATCATGTGCTTACGGGACACCCTGAATTTACTTTGAAATATTCGGTGGCTTAAAAATTTAAGGATTACTCGTGGATAATATTTACATTAGCTAATTATCGGTTTCAGTGTTGTTGGTCTTAATGGAACCCCAAAAATGTTGGGATATTCCGCCAGCAAAGGTGGTTTAATAAACATTATTCCTCCT